GAGAGAAGCTGGGGGTCAGAGCGCAGGGTCAGCCATTTATACAGTACCCCTGGAGCAGATGGGGTTAAGGGCCTTGCATAGGGGCCGAATGGAGGAGGATTCCTGTGCCGGCAACGGGATTCGAACCGGCAACCTTCCAGTCACAGGTGCAGATCCTGAGCCACAGAGCCACCACACCGCCCCTGTAGTCAGCCCTCGTATCATCTAGAATAAGATTCTGGCAACATGGGCTGGGAGCCACAAACTTACATGACAAAGCATTAGTCCGGTAGAAACATTGACTTGTGGTCATCCTGTTTTCCCACTGCAGTTTTGATTAGGCATATTCACTCTTAGCAGCAGAGAAGCGAAAGAGTGAGGGTTATTTGTGGAAAGTCCTGTCAGTGTCGCTTTTTTAATGAAGAATTATAAGGTATTGATCTTCTGACTTGAATCTGTGTGAAAGCTGTTGGAATGGCTGTTTTATGGCACTTGGTTGTTACCGGAGTTTGCCGAGAGGGGCTGTAGTGACCAAAGTTCCCCATTGTATGAATGTGCTAGCGTGAGGCTTTTCAGTTTTTCCCAGGAGAGCAAAAAAAAAATGAGAGGCCAGTCAACACGTTTTGCTAGTTCGGTGGTGTGATAGCTAAGTAAATCTAAACTTTTGTTCGTCCGTTTCTTAAAAGAATCCAATATTTGTGCCTCAGCTACTTAGCTGGGAAGCCTGATCTTGAGTGTTTCCTATACTCCTACATTAATTCACTTGAGTTTCAAAATATGACCCTGTGTGCTTACTTAACTGCTCACTGTGAGCGGGACCCCGTGGTTGGTTCTGTCCATGCCCCTTAAGATTTGATGGATTTGGATTCAATTCAATCTGTTTCCTTTGCTCTAGACCGAAGAGATTTCTTTTCCCTAACCTGTTCATATATGACCGTCCTTGAGACTGGGAAAATCATTATTGTTGCTCTTTATCTTCTGTATAATGCTGAGAAATCCCTTTTGTTTTACGCTGACCCAAACTGTGTTCTAAATGAGGTCTTGCTAGTGCTTTGTGAAGCCAGTGCACAGCTTCCCCGGATTTAAATTCCACATTTTGTTAGGAAATCTGGTTCTAAATTAATGCCTCCTGATTGTTTTTCGAATAAATAGAATTAGAAGTAGTGGGTTTTTTTCCACTGGGAAGATACATGTGACAACCTTAAGGCTATTTCCCCACAAAGTCCCTGTCAACTTTAATATACATTTGCTTTTCTGCATCACTTTGGTTGCAAAGTAAAAAATTAGGAGGCATTCCTTTCCTACTGACCCTTGACCCTTTTGTGCACTCATGCATTTTGCCAGCTTTTTTTTATTGCTTCCCCACATTGTCTTGATGAGAGTGTGGAAGGTTCTGTAGCCAGAACCCATCTAGCCTCCCATGCGCTATTGATACTCCATCTGTAGTTCAGTTTGCCCTCACCAATGTTCGATTCCATTGTGAAGTGCACGCAATCCAGAATTTTAACTTAACTCTTTCTGTAACTCCCTTCTTGTTAAACCATCTGTAAATGTAGCTAGTTTGCTTCCTATATATGAGAATCATGATCTCTGATCATGATTGGGATGTGCAGTGAACCTGAAATGGATCCCTGCTGCACACCCCTGCTCACATCTGCCCACTTGGAGGTAATGTTACTTCAGATGGGGCGCTGCTGCCTGTTTCGAACCAGCTCTCGATCCGTGTGCAGGCATTACCTTTCAACCTAATCCCTATTGTGAGATTTCTGCAGGTCTGGATGCATCGTGTTGTGAGTTCCAGTGCGTTTTCTGCTGTTCTTATTTTTGTTTTACAATGAGAACGAATTTTAAACAAGATTCCTTTCTGAAGTCTTGTTGGTCCTGAGTTATTTCGTGCTTGTTTTCATAAGTTAGCTCTGTCGTTTTAGCTTTTACCAGTAAGCAAAGTGAGAGGGATTGGTCTGTAGCAACCCTGTTCGGTTCTTTAGCCATACTTTTTGGATTAGTGTTGCATTTGCTGTACTGTACTCCCATCTGTGGGTACCACTGAGCTCCGCTCTCAGTGAGTTGAAATATCCAAGCTGAGGGGTCTTTAAAAAACATCCTTCATTTCTGCCAGTATGATTGGGGAAAAAATCTCATCAGACCCTGGAATTGTAGGTCTGGCAGAACCAGCGTTGGATAGGTTGAAGTTTCCAGGTACTATGGGGTCTCCCTCTGTGATGTGGGACCTGCTGTTGACATTTTTTACAGTTAAAAAAAACTATCGATTTGCAAAGGGTTGCATCAACTTGCAATTGAACACGCGCTGTAATTTGAACCTGATTTAATTTTGCACAGAATATGTGGGTGTTGAAGAGGAAAAGAAATGGAGCCTTCATGTAAAACAGGAAATTTTGAGGGGAGGGAAAGTAGTTTGGCAGTTGTCCATAAATATCTGACCTAGGCAGGCACTGCCAAGTTTAATAAAATGAGACCTTATACATGTTAAAACCTCACGTGAAGTGGGCTTCTCCTGTACTGCGCCTATACAGTAATCTGTCATGTCTGGTTGGCATTTTAATATAAACGCCCATTCTTGACTCCTGGACCCCAAATAACCAAGATTACACCGCAACGAAGTACCTGAATAGCTGATAAGTGCTGGACAGGACCAGGAAAGACGACAAGAGTTAAAGCCTCGGGAGCTCCTCTTGCAAGCGAATTGTGGAAAACGTGCTTGTACCTGGAGGTGGGGGAAAGTCAGTTGCTTTTGTATTGCCTAAACATGTTTACTGGAGAGCTTGGGTGGGTTTTTCTTCCTGAGCGATAGCAGTAGTAAACGCAGTGCCGTGATTTGCTTTTTAAATGTAAACACTGGGAGCACCGTTCTCGCACGTCCGCGTCTCCCGAGACCGGAGCCCCCTATCAGCCGGTCCGCTTGTTTGCCTGGGTCTCGGCGGGGGCGTGGGCGCCCTGGCCTGCGATGGTGGTTGTGCTGCCAGCGGGGCTCGGCGTGCGCGGAGGTGTCGCTCAGATCGGGTCGTCCCTGTTTCCCGGGAGAGCCGGCCCTAGCTGCGATCGGACCAATAGGCTGCAGCTGCCCGCCCCGGGCTCCTCCCGTGTGTTTACGAGCTGGGGGAGTTAAATGGGCTCCTGTGACTCCGGCTCTCAGATGATTCCGGCTCCTGCCCTGTCTCTGGCTCCGTGGACCAGTTGGACAAGTCGCCCCGTGCCGTGGACCCCCCGGACTGTGTGTCATGCGCCCCAAAATGCCTTACCGACTGCCCTGCTCGCCCGGGTCCTCGCCCCCGTATTCCCGGGGCTTGATACCTTACCACGGTCGCTGCAGGTAACTTTTCAAAACTTTTTTTTTTTTTTTTGGAAAAGACGGGTGGAGGTGTTTGACTCGAACCCCAGCTCGGGGGTGTCGCTGCATTCCGCGCCCTAGTGGGGGGGGAGAGGGGTCATTGCTCGCCGTGCTGTGCTGTGGGGGTTGCCCGAGTGTCGTCGCGCCCGGCGTTAGTGACTCTTGACGGCGAGACCCGGGCGGGGAGGTCGGGACACGCTGAGGACGCGCGCGCACGCGTGGAGTGGGGGACCCGCCGGTTTCCCGCGGGGAGCACCTGTCCGCCCCGGGACCGGGACCGGGACGCTCGCCCGTCTCGCGTGGCGGGGCTCGATGGACACTCTTACGCGAGTGCCCGTGTTCAGCCTGAGCTTTCCATTGGGCGAAGTTGTGTTCGTGCTGCTTCGACTCGCTCCCGCGCGCTTTGTGACCCCGGACAAGCCCGGTCCCACTCCCCCGCACAGCTGCGCCGGTCTTGGTGTCCGTGTTCCTGACCCTAGCCCGTCCAGTGCGCTGGACACTTGTCGGGGCTGGGGCGGCCGCAGTTGGCGCTGCGCTGTGCTTTAAATCCCGCGTGAGCGAGGGGGAGTATCCCCTCCGCGCGCTCGGGACCCCCCCCCCGGCTCTGCTGCAGGGGGGCCGGGCTCGCGGGCGAGGTGCCGACGCCCCCCAAATAAACGTTGACAGCCGAGCGGAGAACCCTCTCTCTCCCCCCCCAAACAAAAAGCAGCCAGCGTCTCGGGCGGACTGCGGCTCAGCTCGTCTTCCCTGCCTCAGTGAAGAGGCGAGTGTCAGCACTGCGGCGGTCCCGGTTTGCGCAAGTGGTCCTCAATTCTCGGTTCCAGGCAGCGCGAACATCGCTGTGTCCCGTGGGGCTGTTCCGATCTCGTCCAGTGCGTGGTGCTCGTCGCTCGAGGGGCCGCGCTGTGCGGGCTGGACGTCTGTGACGTCGCGGTTCCGAAAGCTGTGCTGTTCGCGGTGATCCGCGCTGTGACGCGCTCTTCGTGTGCAGATTGATCGTGTGCGCTTTGCGGGAGGAGCCGGGTCTGTGATCAGTGGAAACAAGTAGATGGTAATGGAGAGGGGGGGGACCGTTTAAATAGGACAACCCGTGCCAAAAAGGAGACTTTTTTTTTTTGCATTCGTGACCGGCTTGGCAGGAACCTGATTTTCTTACGCAGCTGCTGGAGGGGTGGGAAAAACAAAAGGTCTTCTCTTCCTGGACGCGGAGCCAGATCGCCGCCCCGTGCGCTTCCTCGGGGGCAGGGCAGGCGCGCGCGCGTTCACCCCCGAGAGACCGGCAGGCTTTGCTTTCGTTTCCGGTGCGCTGTGGCGGACAGCACCGCAGCCCTGGTTCATACTACTCAGTGCCCTGCTTCTGCGGCCCCGTCCTGGTAGAGGAGCTCGGGTGGCCCCCCGGGAGCTGGCATGCCGCGGTCAGGTATTTAGCGGAGGCGGTGCCAGATCTGGAAGATCGCTGCGGAGGCGGTCTTGGCAAGGCGGCAGCGATTCCGTGGTGCAGATAGACTTCCTAGGAAGGCTTGGCCGTGTGTCCAGTCGGGTCCCATGGCGTGCTGTGCCTGTCTGAACTTGACTGAGGTTCTGAAATAGCAGCGTAACAGCACGGAGCGTGAAGAATGCGATATCAGTGCCCGCGCTTATGTACATTTCTTCTTCTCTTTCCTCTTTGCAGTACATCCGGAGCGAGCGTTGTAGCCATCGATAACAAAATAGAGCAGGCGATGGTAAGTACGGTCACTTTGTTGTTGTTTTGCCGAATTACGCACCGATATTTTTGTGTCGTCTTTATCGCAAATGAAACCCGTAAAAACACTTTACACCGTTCTTTAAAGCATTTTTTAGTTTGTTGATTTAGAGTATTTACCTTTACTTTTAATCCAGTTTTATAGTACAATATACCAAACTGGACATTAATGGCGACTGTTAAGTCTAAACGTATAGTGTGGAGCAGCAATGTCTCTAATGACTTGAAGATCGTAGGAGTGCAGGTAGCTCAAGAGATGGTCAGAATATTAGACTCATCTCCCGGGCCCAAGTATAACTGGGTTGACCTAGCTCTCGCTTAGACCCACTTTGCTTTAGGATTCGTCATGGCCCAAAAATGTTGTCGAGGCGCTTTCAGGATTCGGAGTGCCTTAGCGCCCCATCTCCCTTGGGCACCCCGAGTGACGCCGTGCCTCCTGTGCGCGCCTGTCTCCCTCCCTGCAGGACCTGGTGAAGAGCCACCTGATGTACGCCGTGCGGGAGGAGGTGGAGGTGCTGAAGGAGCAGATCAAGGAGCTGTACGAGAGGAACTCTGTGCTGGAGCGGGAGAACGCGCTGCTCAAGTCCCTGGCCAACACCGAGCAGCTGTCGCAGCTCTCGGTGCAAATCGCGAACCCCAGCGGCACCCCGCCGCCGGGCCCGGCCCCCGCCGAGGCCGGCCCCCCGGCCCCCCACCAGCAGCCCAACGCCTCGTCCGCGTGAAGCCCCCCCCCGGCCCCCCGCGCGGGGCGGGGGGGGAAAGAGAACGGAAGTAGAGGAAAAAAATACGAGTCTTGTCCGCCACCAGTGTTCTTACCAGTCTTCAAGCGAAGAGCCATGCTTCAGAGTGCGTGCAGTCATTGGCCTTCCCAGTATTAGACAATCATCCTGCAAGAGCTTTCTGTGTCCTGCCCATCTCGCGCGGCGCCGCGGGTGCAGCGCACAGGGAAGGGGTGGGCGTCTGGCGGAGATGGCTGTACCTGGAAGAGGGCCGAGCTGTGGGTGGTACTTCTCATCCTTTTTTTTTTTAAGGCTTGCTTGCGGGGTTTTTTTTTGTGGAAACCTTAGTTGGTCAATGGAGCTGTCTTCATGTTGTAAGAAGTGCGAGTCTGTTTTAAGAGCCCACCATACTTCAACATGAGTTAGAAAAAAAAAAATTACATCCATTCAGTTTTTACTGTTTTTGCTGTTTATTTATTACAGGGCTGCTATTTTCGTAATGTAAATGAACAATGTCACAGAATCATTTTGAAAGGAAAGTTCTGAACGTTCTGAAATGTAAAGTAATCTGAAATGAAATGGATGAGCGGTATTGCAGAGAGATAGTAAAATGTAGGCAATAATAAAGAAATTCCTGGTGTAGTACTAACACTAACGGCAATTTTATTTTTGGGATTATTTACAATAGTTAAGACCCAGTTTGAATGTACATTTTGTATAGAGTGTAAAGTATAAAAGAGCATAGCAAGTTTGTACAGGTTAACATCAGTTATCTTAAACCAATCTCTGGTGGGCTGTTTTGATGAAGAGAACTATGCCGTGTCTGTTGCTAGTTTCTTTAAGAACAGGTGATTGCCATTATGCCCTAAACCTTTTTTAAATAAATCTTGTGCATTCTGGAGGGGTGGGGGGAATTGGGGGAAAAAAAGCTGTGAAATTGTTCAACCTACTTTGTAACCAAAGATGCAAAGCTGTGTAATTCAATTTTATTTTGTAATGCACACTCTATACGTATTTTTTAGTTTTGTTACTTTCTCCTTCACAACAAAAAAAGAAAATCTTTTGTTGCTGTTTAGCATGTTCTGCATGATCTGTAATCTTCAAACCACTTTCTTACCTCATGTTTTTATTCAGCACTCTTATTGTAAGTAGTCTGTGAACAATGTTGATGAAATAACCGAACGAAGAGCTGGCAGTGATGGAGGTGAATCTAGTGGGGATGCACACTAGTCAGAGAAATGAAGTGAGCCATCTTTTGTTCATTTAAATGGTGTTTTGAATTTCATATGCAGAAAAAACGTTTTGTTACATTGCAAATTTTAATGTATTTAATAAATGCAACATTCAGATTCCAAGTGTAGTGTACACTGAGTATTTAAAGGGCCCCTGAGTGGTCATTACACTCTTTTAAGACCTTATTTGCTAAATTGAAATTGTACATTTTGTCAATTCGATTTGTTTTTCCTAGACTGAATAAATACAAGACAGTTGCACGTGCTAAGGGTGCAATATAGACTTTTTCCACTGTAACCTTTCAATTTTCCTCAGCAATCCCCTTTAAAATTGTTTTGTTTCTGCATAATCAAAATACCTTAGACAGCTTGAGGGTATTTAAAAGACCAATGTCTTTCGATGCTCATTAAAAAGGCATGAATCGCTGCTCACTGTCTTACTGAATCCTGAATGGGTAGTGGATGTCTGGATCAAAACCTGCAGCACTGGTACATGTCAAAACCATCCTGCACCTTCTGTCTTCCCTGTAAGATCTGGATCGTGCCCTCCCGTCAGTGGAGAATGGCATGTGTCACTGTCCCTGCTGTTTGCTGTGTAGCTCTCGTGATTCCTGAGTGAAATATTTGTGGTCAAGATTCCTCCTCGGCGCTGCTTTTTTTTGCAGAAGGTTCATGCTCCAGTCTTTGCTCTTGGGCCTTACTTGTGCATTGAAGTTGACAAACTGGAAGGTATTAAATTTTCTATCTGGAGAAAGTGGAAGCGTGTCTGGTCTCCTCCTCTAACAAGGGTTAATGCGCCCCGAGCTCTCGGCTGAAGGCGCCAGTAAAAATCGCAGTTTGGCCCACGAGGCTGCCAGCTTTCCCCTAATGCAAGGCAGCCGTGTTTAACCACTGAGTGGATCGGAGCGGACCAGCTAGGTAAGAAAACAGCCTGTACGTGTCGGGGTTTCTAGGACTTCCTCTGGGGGTGGGGGTTTACCTCTGCAGTCCAGGAATGGGGTGCACTTGTTACACTTTATTGGGGTGCTCTATAAACATGCAAGAGACTACACTCAGATCCTAAAGAGGGGAAGGGGCAGACTAACTCCCCCCTGGTGTTTCCTATAGTCCACAGTCATCTCCTTAGTCTTACTGATGTTCAGAGAGAGGCGGTTCTCCTGGCACCATGCTGCCAGAGTTTCAACCTCCTCCCTGTACACAGACTCCTCACCATCTGTGATCAGGCTGATGAGTGTTGTATCGTCCGCAAACTTCATGATGGAGTTTGAGTCATGCCTGGCGACACAGTCATGGGTAAATAAGGAGTAGAGGACAGGGCTAAGCACACAGCCTTGGGGGGCTCCAGTGTTTAGAGTGGGGGTAGAGGATATGTTGTTGCCCACCCTCACCACCTGCAAGACGGTCCGTCAAGAAGTCCAGGACCCAGTTACAGAGGGAGATGTTCAATCCCGGGTCCTGGAGCTTGATGACAAACTTCGAGGGCACTATGGTATTGAATGCTGAGCTGTAATCAACAGCATTCTCACATATGTTCCTTTCTTATCCAGGTATGAGAGGGCAGTATGGAGGGCAGTGGCAATAGTATCTTCTGTTCACCTGGCGATACGCAGATTGCAGTGGGTCAAAGGGTGTCTGGCAGTGAGGAGGTGATGTGTGCTTTGACTGACCGCTCAAAGCACTTGATGATAACTGATGTGAGTGCAACAGGTCGGTAGTCATTTAGGCAGCTGACTCTGGGTTTCTTAGGAACAGGGACAATGGTGGTTTTCTTAAAGCAGGAAGGAACTATAGACTGAGCTAGGGAGAGATTGAATATGTCCAAGAAGACATCTGCCAGCTGGTCTGCACATGCCTTCAGAATGCGGCCAGGGATGGCATCAGGGCCAGGAGCCTTGCGTGGATTGGTCTTTTTAAAAACTTTACACACATCCGCTCTGGATATGATCAGTGGGTTTCCGTCTTGGATTTCTGGAATCTTCCTGACTGGATCTGCGTCACCGACCTCAAACCGAGCAGAGAATGAATTTAGCTCATCAGGAAGAGAGGCAGACTGTTGTGCGACATAGCTGGGTTGCGCTTTGTAGTCTGTAATGGTGCGTATACCACTCCACATGGTCCGTGTGTTGCACCCATGATAATATGACTAATTTTACACACACACAGTTAAGATGCAAACTCCACACAGACAGCAGCCTGGGTCCAGAATTGAACCCAGGGCCCCAGCGCTGTGAGGCAGCAATGCCACTGTGCCACCATGCCCATAAAAATAAGTAGGAGTTTTGCTCTGCTATTGGAAAACATTAAATGTTGAGTTTTAAGCTCTAACTGCATATTTGGAAATAAGCTGTAGAGAAATGAAAAAGGGAGGGTGGGTTAAAGCTCAATAGAAATGAAAACCTGAAACTCTGAAAGTAAATTAGCATTCAAGTGTAGTTGGTCAGGTGCTAAATGGAGCAAACGTGCTGCACCAAACATTTAAAACTGCCCAAAGGTCACCAGTGAGCAGATAGGAGTGTGATGTCGGACTCCTTTGATGTATGTCGATGCCTGGACTTACTCAACCGGTTGTGCAATTTTCAAACTTGTGGGCCTGCAAGGGAAAATCTCACACCCCTTTTAGGACAGTACAGGCCATTTGCTGCTCCTTAGTTCTGCACGGTCTGACCTTCCTGAAGTTAGCTGTTTTGTCCAGCAGGTGAAGCCCAGCTGAGCTGCTGTGTGCCTCCTCTCACTGGGAGAGGGAACGTTCCCTCTCCTGGGCTCCTGGGAGGAAGAGGTGATGCTGTCCGTTATAACGCCAGGGACTCTCGGAAGCCACCTCTGCCTTCATATACATGCGTGTGTCAGGTCACAGCTGTGACGGCAGCACAGTAGAGCACTTTGACCAGATCGCCTCAGCAGCGCTGGCAGGTAGGGACTGGAAGGTAGGAACACGTCACGCACACGGGAGCAGGGCTGGGTGATTAAGCCCTCTGTCTGGGTGAAGCTGTCATGGGAAAGCTCTTCGGGCAAACAGAGTGTGTGACGGGATGTGCTTTAAGGCGCGGCCGCTGCGGTCGAGAGAGAAATGGAAGAGTCATAACTCAGCTGAGCACCTGAATCATGAGCTCACCGGCTCACCTGTTCGGGGAAGAGCGTGATGAATTGTGGGCGCTGAGCTGGTTTTAATTCTCCTCCTGACGTCGGTAAGCAAACACCATCATAAACAAACACATCCACGGACTCAGAGCTGCAAACCCGCTTCCCCAACCCTGCCCAGCTCGCAACGTGTAAGAAATGTGCCGATACTACCCTTGAGAAATGATATGCAGCCATTATGATAAGTACGACTTTTCAAATTCTGTTCAAAATCCTCGGGCCTGTATCCTAAATCCTACACTTTCAGGCCAGGAGAGGGGAGCAGCAGCCCGTGAGATCGTCCCACTGCGAAAACACGAGCACGTGGCGTTTTGATCATTTCACGGACTTAATTGGTTTAAGCACCGTAAGAATGAAGTAAATTAGAAGCAGCCAGCGCCGGACTTTGAGAACTGGGATTTAACATTTAAAATTAAACTGCTTAATAGAACAAATTAAATCGAACGCGCGGTAAAGCCCCCGACCAAACTGTTGCAAAACAGTGTTTTTAAATCTGACGATTTCAGACTGATTTATAACCCCTAAGAGGTCATGCTTCTCCGGGACTGTTCTATGGCTTTTGAAAATCAATTAGAACCGATTTATATGAGTTAGGTCATATAAATGATCTGGGTTCGGCTGGCTACAAAGTACAAACTATCTCATGGTGATGGACACATGGTGTACTGTGATCATTTGTTAATGGATTGCATATTCTAAGATAAGATCACTTTATTGGCCATATACAATTTCTTGCATTAGGAATTTGTCTTTTCACAGACCCCAGCTTGCTCCCTATGAGACACACAGACAGGGAGAGAAGCTGGGGTGGAGGGGATCCCCATTACCTATAAAGCACTTTGAGTGGAGTGTCCAGAAAAGCGCTATATAAGTGTAAGCAATTATTATTATTATATTATTATTAACACAGCATCTAGGTGCGTTACAAAACGCATGGCGTGTTTTATTCTTTGCGTACAAAAAGTTGTTTTCTTTTTCTACGGCAATCATAAATTAGGTACAGAGGGAAAAAAACCCAAATATTTTCGGAGAAGAAATATCTAGTAAAAATTTACGGAGTCATTCCAAAACTGCCAAGATTGAAGAACAGTATTTGCCTGCGCCGTGTTCACTCTAGAAAATGCAAGAGCTTGCCTCCATCTAGCGGACAAAGGGTGCGATTGCTCAATTAGAGCTGTGGTTTAATTTCATGCGCAGTAGCGGCTGCAGGCCACGTCTAAAATGACCTTTCAATAACAACGGAAGGTTTCGAAGCTACCGTTAATTCGTGTAGGACAGATGGCTGCAGATGTTTTTATTTAAATTCACGAGGAACGGAATCACTCTGAGTTGCTGGAAATAAAGTTGGTCCGAATAATCTAGTTGATTTCTTTTAATTTCCGAATTACTCTCGGGGGCTCATGCAACTCTCAGACTCTCCAGACATCGGTACTTCTGGATAGAGAGAGAGAGAGTCCTGTAGGCTACGAACTACGAGTGAAAGAAACCAGCAGAAAAGTCGTTTTGGTTTTTTTTTTTTTAACGGTAAAGTGGTGTAGCGCAGTGGGTGCAGTTTTTTGAACCCACAGAGTCTCCCGTTGTGCCCCGAGTGATGTGTTTCACCCCAGTGCTCCAGTCCCCCCAGCTGCATGGATGGGCAGCAGCGATGTTTTGCATCATCCAGGCGGGGGCTATGTTATTATTGCTGCTGCACACTGGAGGTGGTGGAGGAGAGACCCCGTGACCTGTAAAGTGCTGTGAGTGGAGTGTCTAGAAAAATGCTGTAAACATGCAGCTTCAAGAATAACAACAGTTGTTGGTGGTTTTGGAGGGGGGGCTCTCTGATTGACTGACCCCTCCTGGGGGGGGGGCGTCAAAGATGAGCTCTGGACCACTGGGCTGCCGTGGGCAGCTCCAGAAGCCTGAACCTCTAACACCTTGTTCCCAGAATCCCAGTGGCGCAGTGGTTAGGACCTCACAGGGCTGGTGGGGAAATTGGCCCTGGTGTGAGTCTGTGTGTGACCTGTGATGGACTGGTGTCCTGGCCAGGGTGTGAGTGCGAGTCTGTGTGTGTGTGTGACCTGTGATGGACTGGTGTCCTGGCCAGGGTGTGAGTGCGAGTCTGTGTGTGTGTCCTGTGATGGACTGGTGTCCTGCCCAGTGTGAGTGCGAGTCTGTGTCTGTGATGGGCTGGTGTCTTGCCCAGGGTGTGAGTGCAAGTCTGTCTGTGTGTGTGTGTCCTGTGATGGACTGGTGTCCTGCCCAGGGTGTGAGTGCGAGTCTGTGTGTGTGTCCTGTGATGGACTGGTGTCCTGTCCAGGGTGTGAGTGCGAGTCTGTGTGTGTCCTGTGATGGACTGGTGTCCTACCCAGGGTTTGAGTGTGAGTCTGTGTGTGTGTCCTGTGATGGACTGGTGTCCTGCCCAGGGTGTGAGTGCGAGTCCTGACCTCCCTGTGCCGTCCCTCCCAGGGTGTGCCCTGCCCTGCACCCTTTGCTTGTTGGGATACAAGATGGAGGGATGGATGCTCCAGTTCCCTTCGTCAACACCAGCTGTTCGGTTCGTATAGAAGCAAGAAGAAAAATTACAAAATTTATATAGAATTATAAATTATAACTAAAGAATTGCCGGATGTCGCGGATTAACATTAATCCTGAACCTCATCTCATAGGGGCGGAGCACTGGATCTGCGCCTGTGGCTGGAAGGTTGTCGGTTCGAATCCCGCGGCCGGCAGAGGAATCCTACTCCATTGGGCCCCTGAGCAAGGCCCTTCACCCCAACTGCTCCAGGGGCGCTGTATAAATGGCTGACCCTGCACTCTGACCCCCAGCTTCTCTCTCTCCGTGTGCTTGTGTGTCTCGTGTAGAGCATGCTGGGAGATGTGAAAAAAGACAAATTCCTAATGCAAGAACTTGTATATGGCCAATAAAGTGATCTTATCCTATACAGCTGGCCACGTGTTCGGAGGTATTTGGGAACATCCTGCATAAGATGGTGCTTTCCATGGCAACGTGTCACATGTCTCATTTCTGATGTTTATTTCGGTGTCGTCTCATTCTCTGTGTAAAAACTCCGTGATGTACTGTCTCCACTGCATGGAGTTAACTGCTGTACTGCGTTTCCACTGTACTGCACACGTCCTGAGACGACAACATGAATAAGGATCTCATCGTAGCTGTACCTGCAACAGCCAGGCAGTCTGGCCCAAACTGGGGTGCACGTGCTTTTTCTCCGGCACAGACAGGTCAGCCCCCCCTTGTTTTCCTTTTGTAAGGCACAAACACACGTGCCAGCTCTTCACGTGGCAGGAGTCCTGGATGTGCGTCACAGCTAGAGATTCAGCCTTAAAACAATCGAGCACTCCTCATGCCCGATTCTGGCCACTACTGTAACGGACTTCTCAGTTCAAGTGACCGGCGCAGTGCTCCTCACAGTGACGTGACCTGTCTGGCCTGCATCACGGTTTCAGAATGTGGGTGGGGGAAACTTTACTGAAGCGCCCAGTTTGTTTAGTTGTATTTTTGCACGGTGGCGTAGCGATAAACATTCTCAGAACAACACAGGCACAGCCCTAGCTCAAACTGCATCTTTAAGCAAAAAACTTTATGTACAACCTGGTGGCACCCAAGCAGCCCAGTTTTAATTTCATCTTTTATTTGTTTTGGGGGCTTGAAATGGCAACAAACACACAATTCTTCTTTTTTTTTTTTGCAGATTGTACAAAGAGTGCAAGCCAAACATTTGCCGTCTTGATGTCCCTTTCATTCAATTCAAATCCTCCGGTTGATCGCCTACATCACAGGAGAGGTATAAATACTACAGGAAAGAAAAAACCAGGACTGCTACTTGCTTCCAGTCAAGCCGCAGTCGTGGGTGGTTCTCGGCGTCTCGGACTCCGGGAACGCCCTGGGAGGCGTCCGGCCCAGCAGGTGCTCCGGGCTCCGGACAGTGGTGTGTACGGCAGCCGTGCCCGTCCCAGCGCCCAGCAGAGTGGACGCAGGCAGACGCCAGAAGCAAATCATCGTTATTCTTTTAAACATACTATCCTTCTTTTAAAATAAAGAGGAAATCAGACACAGGTGGACTGTAGAGGAATCAAAAGAAAGCAGGAGGGGAAGAAGTCTTAACAAAGCAGGTCGTACAAACGGGGCGGAGAAAGCTTTTGCGTCACAATCACAACGCAACCCAGAATCTACAGCATATGACACTCGATCATGGTCCCGGACTGGAATGTGAAGTTTACAAATCGTATGGCTTTCGTTACACAATTTAAGGCACGGGTGGGGGGAGACCTGTCAGCCACACAAAGGGGCCCAAAGGAACCCCAGACTCCGGGAGCTGGAACGGGAATAATGACGATCACGGGAATGATGAGGACAGCCGGGAGCTGTGCAGTGTTCGGGGGGGGGGCGGGGGCTGGAATGCTCGGGTTCGAAGGACAGAGGCCTGGTCACTGCAGTTTACATCCCCATCCTGATACTCTGGATAATCTGGAAGATCGCTGTAGGGAAGAGCAACAACACCAGGAATTCTGTTAGAGGAGCCTGCAGTAGAAAGACCAGAACAAGCTGCGTGTCCGTCTGTGTTTTCCCAGAAGCTGGCAGGACAGGGGACCGCACCCCAGCAGGCCTGATGTCCAGGGCGGTGCTGCGGACGCCTCCGGCCAAGAGCCGCAGGACTGGCGGCGAAGCCGGACGGACCTTCAGATATGAGGAAGGTCAGGCAAACAACAACAACAACAACAACAACAACAACAACAACAACGGCTGCTCGTGGAGGTCCTGTCACTACTCCGAGCTCCACGTGACCTTGTTGTTCACTCCTCTGTTGCGCCAGGCAAGCGAACCGCATGCCGAGACGTCTTTCACAGCGCCGACCCGCGGACCCATTACACAACCCGGACGGACAAGCTTCTGACAGAACAGAACAGGGCCCGTTTGCACGTTTTACTGCTGAAAGTGAAAAGTGACCCGTGTTTTAATTTTACGAAACACCAGACACGTTCAGTACTTGTGTCATCACGGACGAGCTGCAAAAATTGTTCGTTTACCGGGGAAATGAGCCCTCATTACTGAACGTGAATGAAAACTCAGCACTCCCCCCAAACCCCCCCCAGGCACACCCACACTGCCACACCCCCCCAGGACAACTGCCCCCTGTTCCTCTCCTCAGCCTGCTGACAGGGCCACTAAAGCCCAGCTCGTGGGACCTGCTGCCGAGGGCACAGGGGGCATTTCGGAGGCTTTCAGAACCCGATCGGGCTTCCCGAACAGAGCTCTCCCCGCACATCTTGGAGAAGTTACCCTCTTCCCTGCAGGAGCGGAGGGATAAAAAAAAAACATTTCTCCAGATGCCAGTCCTCCAAACACCCGCACAAAGGCCTGCTGAGGGCTCGGCAGTCACGCAACCCACAGGCATCTGACATCTGCATACAAGAGCAGTGCAGATAAAAAGTTTAAATTTTAATCCCGAGTCAAGGGCGCCGGTGGGGGGGAGGAGGTTAGAGATACAGTGTCAACAAGCCCGGCCGCCTATCGCCGAGATAAGCCGGCGAGTCGATCCCGAGAGCAGCACCCTGCGCCCGCCGGCCCTGCACGGCAGGAAACACGCGTGTCCCCAGGTGTTTCCACGGCGCTAGCAGACACGAAAGTGCAGTCGTACTGAAACCCGAAGTCTCCCTCCGAGGGGCGCACCGCGCAGCCGACGGTTTCGATACTATCCGACACGCCAACGGGAGACTTGAGAAGTCCGTGCAAGGAACCTGGCGTTCGGACTTCTCACCTTTCCGACGCCAAACCCCTCTTAGTTTTTTTTTTCCTTTCTGGTTTTGTTTTGTTGTACACAGGAGATCCTCCTTCGCCCGGTTCTGCGTGCCAACGCCACGAACAAGCAGCGCTCGGGTGACCGAGAACATGCGAAAAAGGAAAGGAAAGCAAACTAAACTGAACTTCGACCCTCCCGGGTGGGGGGGAAGCTGCCAGAAACCCCCCCAAAAAAACCCAACAACAAACAATCAAACAAACAAACAAAAAAAAAAAGACTCCTGCCCACCTGACCCACAGACGACAAAAATGAACAGCGCCAACAACCAGGGTCCGACGGAGACTTTGTCGTCCTGAGCGTTTCTCTGAAAAGCAAACAGACAACAAAAAAAAGCCGAGATGAAAATGTGGAAAGTGACAAGATACACCCCCAGGGTAGGAGCTGCTGGGGCGGGGGGGTAGAGGGGAGAGGGGCTCAGGGGCAAGTCGCCCCTCTGACAGCCGGACACGTCGCGCATCTACTCGGCACCGACCGAGACGCGCAATCGCCCCTCTCCTCGCCAGCTCCAGCCCGACCACCCGGCCGCTCTCCTCGCACTGGGGCGGGGGGCTGTGATTTTTTGCTGTTGCTGCTGCTGCTGCTGATGATGATGATGGCGTTTTAAGGACCGGAGCAGGAATCGCCGCGTCCCCCCACACTTGCACAGAGCTGGAGGGGAGTAAAGAAACGCGACTCCCCAGACGGACCCCGCGGGGGGAAGAGGAAGGAGGAGGAGGAGGAGAGGGGGAACTCGGACACTTTTTAACGCCGCCGCCGCCGACTCCCCCACCTTCTCCTCTCCGTCAGAGACACGCCAGGACTCACCGTGCTTTTGGCTACGTTGCCTCTTTGCGTGATGTTTTTGCTGTGCTTTTCATTTGCCATGCGAATCCTCTGCTTCGCCACCATCTTGTTAACCTGCTGCTGCTTTTCTCCTCCGTGCGTCTGTGTTCGGTCCCCGGGCCGGGCTGTGCTTTGCTGCTGCTGCTGTGGCGGTGGTGGTGGTGGTGGTCGTAGTAGTAGTGATGATGTGTGCAATGCCGATATCAGGAGAGGACTGCCAGCTCGCCAGCTGCGATGTGTCGCCCCGCACCAGGCTGTAATAAACAGGGGCCCCTGCCTGCGTCGACACACGCTCGGCCCCTCCCGCCGCCTGCCCACGCCGCCGCGGCCAGCGCAATCCTTCCGCCGGGCTGCCTGGCCTGCGATGTAGTCCGCCATAAAAATCATGATTCATAATAATAACTTTATTTTATATAGCGCCATTTAAAGGTGGCTTCTCAAAGCACTTGAGAGAGTGACGGCAATAGAAAATACACAAGATGTGCACAATGAGGAGACAGCAGAGGGGGGGACTGAATACAGGAGGAGCAGAGGGGTAAAGAACAGAACCAGTTCAGTAAGGGCTCTTCTGAAGAAGAAGGGTTTGAGTCTGGATCTGAAGGAGTTGAGAGAAAGTGACTCTCTGATCTCCTTGGGGAGAGAGCTCCAGAGATTGGGGGCGTAACAGGAGAAGGCCCTGTCACCCCCAGAGTGTAGACGGGCTTGGGGGACAGACAGGAGACCAGAATTAGAGGAGCGAAGGTTGCGAGGTGGGGAGGAGGACGATAGTTGCCTTCCTCCTTTCCCCCTCTGTGCTTCGCAGAAGATCTCTGCTGTGTTGTATTCTTCTTGTGGAGGCCAACAGAGACAGTTCGACAGCTGTGCGACGGGGTCAAGAGGAGAACTTGTCAAGCTGAAAACAGGAAGTCAACCTTTTCAAGTCTTGATCGGAGAAGACTATTTATTTAGAGAATGTGAAATGCGAGTGAATTCATCGAGTTCCTTAGCAGGGCAAGAGAGACCTTCTTAATGGCTCATGATGGACAAATCCAGTTTACACAGTTTATTGATAACCTGAAACGGATATACAAAGGCAAAAAGAAACTGATGATGTTGGCGCCGGAGAGGTTCGGTTGACGGAATTCTGTCTCTTTCTTTTTACTTGAGCCTGCCTTTGTATCCTTTTTAACTGAAAATGAAAAACAAAATCAGTCACAGAGCCACAACGATATTATATGTGTATTGAAAGAGAAAATTGTCATGTTGTGGAAGTTTGTGTGTTTTCTTTTATTTGTAAGAGAGAGGTTAAAGAGAAGAAAGTTTTGGTTTACCCTGCGAATGCGAGGAGACTATGTTCCAGACCCGGCCTGGTCACTCAGAGTCCTCGAAGGCTCTTGTCGACCCAGCAGGTTTCTTCAGACTGAGCTATCGAACATGAGCCGTGAGACACGGGTGGAAACGAGGGGTTCACTTTGAAAACCCACACTTTGGGGCGCTTGTTTCATGAAGGTTTGTGTGGCGTCGGGAACAAGCTGCCCAGGCCGGGGCTCGAACCCTGGCTGCCTTCAAGATGCTCAGAGCAGTTATCTTCCCTCTACTAAATAATATAGGATCACTTTATTGGCCAGATACCATTTCTTGTATTAGGAATGTGTCTTTTCGCAGACCCCAGCTTGACTCCATGAGACACACAGACAGGGAGAGAAGCTGGGGGTCAGAGCGCAGGGTCAGCTATTTATACAGCGCCCCTGGAGCAGTTGGGGTGAAGGGCCTTGCTCAGGGGCCCAACAGAGTAGGATTCCTCTGCCAGCTGCAGGATACGAACCAGCAGCCTTCCAGCCACAGGCGCAGATCCTGAGCTCCAGAGCCACCACTCCGCCCTAAAAGCACGCTCCCCAGATGAGACACAAACCCACAATCCCTGGCTTGAGATAGATAGATGAGGTTAGTGCCCCCCTCTCCTTTGTAACTGTTCCTATTTTAACAAGAATTATAACAATGGCGCGTGAGAACTATGTGGACAAGAAGTAAAATTGATAACTATCAATGTTAATTAGTGATAAGTATTTGCTAATTAAAAGTTGCTTTAAATCTCTACCATGACGCTTGGGTTTAACCAACCAGCTTTTGCTGAAACCCCCGAAATTAGTCAACCAAGTTACAGCACTGCCCAGACAAGACTGCCTCACACACTGGGACACCGCAAACTGGGAGAGACCACTGAGCAGAGACAGACCCGATGAAGTACAGGGTCAGTGACCACTGCCTGGGCACAGAAACTGGACACACGCAGACCTGGCTGCCCAGAGAGGACGGGCTCACTGACCACAGCCTGGATGTAGAAACTGGACACTCAAATAATAGAATTATGTTTTTGTTCTGAATGTTTGTAATTATGTTCCAAATTGTTACTGCTCTGGCAACAGAATGATTCATCTCTTATGCCAAAAACAAAAAAAAGCTTTGAAATATCAGAGCCATTTAATTTTCATTGCAACAGCAATCAAAATATGCAGAGTATTACTTTTAAATCAGGTGTTATACTCTTATATCTATGTATCGCAATACAGCAGCACTCTGAAGCCGAAACCAGCAGGAATTCCCGGCCGGACCTTTTTTTTTCCTGACGTGTGCATTGATACACGTACACGCGTTTCGGGTGATGCGGTCGGGTTTTGTCGACGTGTTTTTCCCTGTGTCTGTCTCATGGGCCCACACTCACTTCCTGTCCCTCCCCTTCCGGTGCAAGATGGCGCCCCCCACACCAGTGTTGGCAGGTCGGTAGCGTGATTATGTTGCTTTGTTGGTCGTGTGTGGTTATGAGGCAGTCGGCAAAATGTGGAAGACAAATTTAGTTAACTGGCCGTGTAACACGGGTGGATGTCCGAGATTGCCCAGTGAAACTATCTAGGAGTAGAGAGATGTTTTTTGCTCAACATCCCTGTAGAACCGTTCACTACACCATTCACAGTTTGGTCACGCTATTTCTAGGTGCAAACATAAAACTAAAGAAATAATAAATGTAAATAAACTGAAATAATAAACTTAAACTGTGTACTACCCTGGGTGTGTTTTGGGTATTATATGTGTAACCGTGATCTTGATCAGAAGCAGTATGTGCCCTTCAAGGCGATAAAGCTATATTCGGGTGACTTTATATTCGGTAATGCTCTGAAATAAAAGATCGCCCGACGTTTTACACAATTTTCTTGGCGAACACGAAGCAGGGATCCTGCCCTTTCGGGGTTTCAGGTGCAGACACTGTGTTTGGCGTTTACAGTTTTTTTATTAAGAGGACATTGTTTCTGTCACTATCGCTGTCAACAGTTCGCGCATCGAATGGAACATCCATGATCTATGGCCCTCCAGACTGTGTCGAAAATACTGTCTTTAAAAGGTATGTTATTGCAGGGTTATAGGTTTGACTGCAGACAGTGCGTATTTCTCCAGTTAACGTTTTTACTCAAAACATGTCAGTTTGCCTTAAAAACTTTGATTTCGCTTGATATGTCTGGCGCCCAGGTTAAAACAAGTATAAAGGGGGAAGTTGAAATGGTAAAGTTGTTCCTAGGTTGATACGGGTGCACGATCTAAGTTCAAACATGCTCTGGAATGACTTAAATGTCCCTGCTTGTTGTCAGTGCTGTTTCAGTGGTGAGATGATGAGAACGCCAACAATTGTGTTTAAACGCCGTTCTCCTAAATCCTGTTTGATTTGTTTTTTTTTTCCAGGGATGGACGAGCAAGTAAATTTGTGACGTTTAGCAGAGATGGTTCCTTGTTCGCCTGGTGCAATGGAGACAAGTGAGTGATGCCTTTGGCCCCGAGAGGGGAGAACAGACCAGCCCTGGCTCTAGCAAATAGTCAGGTTTGAGCCTGTTTGCTGATGAAGTCTTGAGTCTGTCGATGAAGTAGTGCAATAGAATAAATAAGCTAACTAAACATGAATCCTGTCGCTGTGTTTCAGTAAAATTGTACTGGTCTCTGTTTTGTGTGCATTTCGATTGTGCCGAGCTGTGTTGTTGCTCATGAAGGGATACTTTTCTGGTGTTTAATAAAACTGAATGCCGGTACTGGAGCATGAGCCCGGACAGAAGTGTGTGGCTTTCTCCTTCACAGGGTCAGTGTACTTAATGTGGCAGATGGCACAGTCCTGCAGTCTCTCGACCTCCCAAAGACGGCCTGTCTGGAGTTCTCTCCCAAGAGCTCCATTCTGGCAACATGGCAGCCTTATAGCAGTATGTATCCCCGGACACAGCTCCCTCCTTTCTTGCATTTGCCTGACAGACGCAGTTGTCTCTGTGGCACGGAGAGCAATCACCCTCCTTTGTCTCTGATACGGCCACATTCATGCACAAACCTATTAGGATACTCTGTCTAAACTGAGTGTTTATGCTACCGTCACATTTAAACACACATTTATTCCTTTTTAAAAGGTCTCACATTCAGTATTTGGGGGCAGAATGCTCCTCTATGAAGAAAATAGGATGTTTCTGGCTCTGTGCTGGAAATCAGAAAATCAGGGTGTTGTTCTGGTCTGTCCCAGAAACGCAGGAGAGTGCTCAAGGAGACCCTAACCTTCACCTGTGGGATCTGCAGACTGGGAAGTGTCTTAAATCTTTCTACCAGAAGAAAATGCAGGGCTGGTAAGTGTGGCAGGGGTTTTCAGAGCAGAGTCACGCTTACGGACGAGAGGAGTTCATTCAGCCCCCTCTCGTTCGTCTGGTAGTTGGTAGCTAATTGATCCAGGGATCTCGATCATCAGGGAATTGTCTTCAACAACATGGCTGGGCTGCCTTTTCTAGACCCTTTACGTAAACAAAAGGTGCATGGTTTTAAATGCACTAACAATTGTTAAATGCATAAACGGTCACAGTGACACACAGCAGGTGAAATGTTACTGACGAGTCCGATGACCCTAAAGTGAAGAGCTGCTGTGATGCTAGAGAATCCTAGAGGTGTCGAACGAGGGTTCGTTCTACACTGGTGGCGCTTAACTCCCTTTCTTGTTTCTTTAGGTGCCCAACCTGGTCCGATGATGAAAGTATCGCCGTCAGGAATGTAAACAACGAGCTCCATTTTTTCGAAAATAACAAATTTGGTGAGCAGCGCTTACGTTAAGAGCATGAGCTCCTGCAGCAGTTAAAGAAACCGCGGTGGCGGCCCCAGTTCTGTGACAGCGCTGACCCCGACCTGAACTGGGTGCTAATTGAAAGTGGCTGGATAATAAAAATCTGTTTACAAGGGGACTGAAGCCGCTTCTAAATTTCATCCCCTTTGGTTTCCTTGTGGGAAACGTATTAAAACCTGAGATCTGATTTCCTCAGAGCAGTGCTTTCAGAGAAGATGTGCTTTTTTTCTTTGGTCCTTATAAATCGGCATGCGAAATAATATTTTCTGTCGCCAATTTTCAGCTGTAAATTATCATCTGAGTCAACATCTGAATAACTAAATTTGGTGTGTCAATGTCATATTTAAAGACTTTTGTGAAGCCCAGAGGCAATTATCACGCTTCCTCAAGTATAAACATGTGTAAAAAGCACTGTGTAGCAGAAAAAATCGACGCAGAGATTCAGGTATAGGCATATTCCACTTTCTCGGTTTGAACAGATTGTTTCTAGGTGTCTGAGCTGCCTGTGTTCAGGGTGCTTGCTTGTACCTCTTACTGCTTGCATGTGCAAAGTTGCTTTTCATGGTCACCATGTTGGATAACAGGCTAATCTCTTTAATTCCCCAGTCCTAAGACATAGTCTGTACAGAACAGTATCGATCGTTGCACTTTAACGATCAGCTCATCCCTGCTGACAAGCCTGTCAAGTGTGCCGTCTTTTCACAGACACCATCGCCAACAAGCTGCACCTGCAGAAGGTCACGGAGTTCGTCCTGTCTCCCGGAGCTCAGCCCAGCAAGGTGAGTTGAGACGCTCCAGGCCGTGCTCTGTTATCCTCTCTCTCCTTGTGCGCTCGTCCGTCGGCCGTGGAAAGACTAACCCGAGGCGTTGTGCTGCCATTTGAGGTCGCTGTCTATGTCCCAGGAAGCAAAGGGGCCCCCTCCTTCGTGCGGCTGTACCAGTACCCCAACTTCGCAGGGCCGACCTCAGCTTTGGCCAACAAAAGCTTCTTTAAGTCTGACAAAGTGACGATGCTGTGGAACAAGAAAGGTACGCGTGCGCGCAAGCGCTCCCGTCTTTGTCTCGTGGGTCGCGCTGACCCGGGTCCCGGCGCCGATTCGCAGGAGCGCAGGGTGTGACCCCCCCAGCGAGACCCTTTGTTCAGCACTCGTGACCCCCGTAAAAATAATTTCTAATCAAGTTGCATGTAGAGTGCGGGTTGAACAGTGCTAAGCGGCTCGTTTTATTTTCCATGAAACACCCCCCCCATCAAGCCGATCGTACTGTGTCACTCAGCAACACTCCGTTCCACGACATGACAGGAGGGCCTTCACGGCCCAGCAAGAATCGATCTTGACTCATTTGTTTTCTTGTATTTGTGTATCGACAATTTTACCACCCCCCCCCCCTCCGGTAGATAATAAATGTGCATTTCGATTTCCCGGCCGGCTCTCAGACCTGAAGGCCAGCGGGAGGCGCTGTGAGCTGCCGGGGGAGGGGGGAGCGCGATCGAGCTCGTGGCTCTGCGTGCGAGTCCTGACGGGGGGGCGTCTCGATCTTTCCCGCAGCCTCCGCCGTCCTAGTGACCGCTAGCACGGAGGTGGACAAGACGGGGGCGTCGTACTACGGGGAGCAGACCCTCCACTACCTGGCGGTCAACGGCGAGAGTGCGGTCGTGCAGCTGCGTAAGTGTCAACCCCCCCTCCCCGATCGGTGGCCCCCAGTCCTCGGCCCCCAGCTGAGCCGTCTCCCCTTCTTGTCCCGAGCAGCGAAGAGCGGCCCGATCTACGACGTGGTCTGGAGCCCCGGCTCCGCCGAGTTCTGCGTAGTCTACGGCTTCATGCCGGCCAAGGCCACCGTGTTCAACCTCAAGTGTGACCCCGTGTTCGACTTCGGCACGGGCCCGAGGAACGCCGCCTACTACAGCCCCCAGGGGCACATCCTGGTGCTGGCGGGCTTCGGCAACCTCCGGGGGCAGATGGAGGTCTGGGACGCGAAGAGGTACAAGCAGATCTCCAAGCCACAGGCGCCGGACTCCACTTTCTTCTCCTGGTGCCCGGACGGGGAGCACATCGTCACGGCGACGTGCGCCCCGAGACTGAGGGTTGGCAACGGGTACAAGATCTGGCACTACACCGGCACCGTGCTCCACAAGTCCGACGTGCCGGCCGACGCCGAGCTCTGGGAGGTGCTGTGGCAGCCGTGTGCGGAGGGGGTCTTCCCCGAGAAGCCCATCAGGTACCAGGCGGCGCCCAGCGAGCTGGGCAGCGCGGAGCCCAAGCCAGCCCAGGCGTACAGACCCCCGGCGCTGAGGAACAGACCAGCCGCCAGCTCGAAGCTGGTAAGCGGTTTTCAGAGGGGGAGACGGGTCAGGGGAGCAAGCGATCGGCAAAGCAGGGGCAGAGGAAGTTAACCAAGTTGCAAATAGTGGTTTGGTGTGTTGTGTTAGTTTGCCGCAAAGTCCTACTTTATATTAATATCATTTTGTACGGCACCTTTTAAGACACCTCAGGTCATGGAGCTTTACAATGATACAGAGATAGGAACACACAAAATAGTCCGGTTATAAACATGTAAGCTTAGGTCCTGTTATTGTAGGTTTATGGGGTTGAGCAGTGTGAAATATTTTTGAGTTGTGTGGAGTTCCTCGTTTCGGGTGGTGGATAGGTTTAGGTCGATGTGGCTTTCTGTGTTTTCTGATTGGTTACTGGGGAGACCATGACTGAGAAACAGGAAAGATCAGGAGGAGAGGGAGTGAGGCTTCAGCAGGTGGAAACGAGGCTGTTCAGCGGTAAACTGGACAAAGAATATCCGTCTCCATCCAGACCCCATCCGTACAGGCCGGGTGTTCAACCACCAACGCACGAGCCCTACACGTGGTTAAATAGATAGATACTTTATTGATCCCGTGAGGAAAATGACAGGGCAACAGCAGCTTAACACAGACAACACAGCAATGGTGTAACGAATTATACAATAATAATACAATACAATCAGTACAGTGAGAAGTGCACTAAGAAGAGTTACTCACAGTCCAGAACACACGAAGAACAAACCAGGACAGAACAGTACACAAAATGCAAATATCCACTTGAGGCCACTTGTGAAGAAGGTCTTCACAGATCTGCGGACGGCGGGTCGGAATGACAGCCAGCGGGCGTCGGGGAGCCCCTGCGCTGGGGTACGGCCTGCGGGTCCCCGGTCCCGCTGTGACGGGGCCGTACCTGTCGTTGCAGCACGAGGAGGAGCCGCCGCAGAACATGAAGCAGCCGGCCGGAGGGGAGCGGCCCCTGTCCAGAGCGGC